CGTTACCGAAATAAATAACAACATGAGTTACAACGACCCATATGTATTATACTATATTATAAATGAGTAAAATAGTTACTCCCTCCGACCCTAAATATATGTTGTTTTTGCTTTTCGAAAAATAACTTTAACTAAATATATATTAAAAAATATTAATACTTATGATACATAATTAGTATCATTTATAGATATTTGAATCTAGTTTTTTAATAAATTTATTTAGAGATAGAAATGTCGCACGTATTTTCTATAAATCAAGTTAAAGTTATTGGCACGTAAATCATGACGACTAACATTTAGGAACGGAGGGAGTATAATTTTATATAGTTATAAATAGTAAAAAATAAAAGTGAGGTGGAAAATACATCGAGGACTAGTGCGTACGGCTGGATTCCGTCAACGCGTAAGACAAGGATGGGGCCACCTCTCATCTCATAAAGTATCTAATCTAACGAGACCAATCCACTCCATCCATCGATGGACTGGACGTGCTAACCGCTGCGAATTAACAAGCTAATCGTCATTCCCTTTGGACTTGCATTGTGTGATACGGAGTGCGATCCATCCATCCACGGGTGTTTCGGAATAGCTATTTTGGTCCCTCAACTATTACTCGAGGCTTAATTTTGTCTCTGAATTTTCAAAACGGCCGTTTTAGCCCTCAAACTCTACTTTTAGGCTCAATTTCATCCTAAAACTATGAAGATGATCATTTTAGTCCTCAAACTTTGTATTTTGGGCTCAATTTCATTTATAAACTATCAAAGTGTATTTTGTTCTTTAAACTTTTATTTTCAACTCAACTTTGTCTACGTTCTACGTGGAACGCTGCACTGCTGCACCTGGTTAACTCTAAAACTACCAGGATTAGAGATAGAAAAATAATATTCATCAAAAAACTCATTTGTGGCCATTAATAAATCCAAGCTGTTATTTTTAGTGTTACCTTATAATAGTACCATTCACTACCGAAAACCTTAAATTTGCCGAGTGTTTTTATGTTTGTCGAGTGTATTCCCTCGGACACTCGGCAAACAAATTCTTTACCGGGTGCTATACTAAAAACACTCGGTAAAAAAAAACACTCGGCAAAGAGGAGAGTTTGCCTTGTGTTAAACAAAAAACACTCGGCAAATAGAAAGTTTACCGAGTGTCACAGAAAAACACTTAGCAAAAAGACAGATTTACCGAGTGTCCACACACAACACTCGGTAAATCAAAAAAAATATAGAAAAAAACCGTCTGCCCCTAAAATCCCGCCCTTCCCCTCCCCAGACCCACTCCTCCTGCACCCGCGCCCCAGCCTCCCCTCCCAAACACCCCGCACCCGCCCCAACCCTCCTCCCGCCCCCGCCCCCTCCCTCCCCTTCTTCTTCTTCCCTGGCTGCCCGCCGCCTCCCTCCCTCCCTCCCTTCTTCTTCAAGTGGCCATGGATCCGCCCTCCCTTCTTCTTCCCACGGCCACTGCCCCTCCCTTCTTCTTTTGGTGCCACGGATCCGCCCTCCCTCCCTCCCTTCTTCTTCCTCGATCCGCCCCCCTCCCTCCCCAACGGCGAGATCTGAGGAGGGGCCGGTGTGGCGCACCCCAGCGACCGAGGGGACGGCGGTGGCTGTGGGGCGAGCTGCAGCCCCCTGGCCGAGAGAGGCGACGCGGTGGCGGGGGGCGTGGTGGCGGAGGCGGATGCGGCGTGGTGCGGGTGGCTGCGGCAGGCGTGGATGGTGGCAGCGACGTGGATGGTGGTGGCGGCGGCGGTGCTGGTCAGGCGTGGATGGTGTCGGCGTGCCTTTTTTTAATTTTTTTGAAAAAAAGTTTGCCGAGTGTTTTTTGGGCACTCGGCAACGTTTTTGCCGAGTGCGCGACAAAAAACACTCGGCAAACTAGCGTTTGCCGATAAAGGGTTTGCCGAGTGTCGTAGCGTTTGCCGATAAAGGGTTTGCCGAGTATTTTTGGGGCTTCGCCGAGTGCCCCTGGCACTCGGCAAGGCTCCTGCATCCGATAGTGATTTATATATATCCAACTAAATGATATTTGTGGGAGCAATTACAGTTGCTTCGAACACTACTTATTCTTTAAGAATACATGGATATATTAAAACAATAGAAGATCTATGATTTTGATAATTTATGGATGAAATTGTGCCTAAAATGTAAAGTTTTCTTTTTGAATGGACAAAATTGAGTTGAAATTAAAAGTTAAATGCACTTTGATAGTTTATGGATGAAATTGAGCCCAAAATGCAAAATTTGAGGACTAAAACGATCATCTTCATATTTGTTGGATGAAACTGAGCCTAAAACTAAAGTTTAAGAATCTAAACGGACGTTCTAAAAGTTTAGAGATGAAATTGAGCTTCGAGTAATAGTTGATGTCGGTGTCCACGTCAAGCACAGTAGCATATGGTTAAATCTCTCCGATGATCTAGCTAGTTCTATCATTGTATCTTAAAATTATTAGCAGTATAATTGTCTTATCTATATATGCATACAAACATCTGAAGTGGATGTCTAATGCTAGGCTGTTCGGCTGGACTGAAAAATAAGTCAAAATACTGTTCCGATTGATTGTTGTGAAAAAAATACTATTCTGGTCTGAAAACACTGTTCTCATGAACAGTACCCGTATAAGTGCGCTGGTCAGCCCAGACCCAGCCAGCCAGCCAGCCGAACGAGCGGTAACGTGCCGGTGCATTGTCGGAGACGCCGGACAGTCGTCTGCTAGCTAGCTTCAGCTGGATCGCCTCGATCATTTTTTTCATCGCACAGGAAGTGGTTTTGGCAAACAGCTCCGGGCCCGAAACAACGGCACGCGCGCCCCGACTGGCGACTGCTCGTCCGGTTTGTCTTTGTCCGATCCGCACCCAAGTCGGCAGCAACGGACGGACGGATCGGAGTCGGAGACGAATGAAAGAAAAACAGCAAGAGGAAAAGTGTGCCAGTGCTGTTCTTCGATCGTCGTTTCGGCAAACACAATCGAGTAGGATGAGTCTTCTTTGCTTCCACATGAGTCGGTAAAATATATATCTACAGTCTGTTCCCTGTTCGTTTGCTCGTAAACGATCGTAAATTTTCAGTTGAAAACAGTATTTTTTTCTCACATCAAATCAGCTAACAATAAATAATCTACGATACGATACGGCCTCCCAAACAGACTGCAAGTCCATGGAATCACGCAGCTGACTGATAATCGCCGCTTGTTCTCCACCTCGTCCTCGTGGCCTGTGTCCACCTCGTCTTTTCAACCAGACGCACGCCTCCACTATTCCTTTCCTCGGTTGTGTCATGGCTCGTGGTTTGCGACCAAAGACCACCTCGTTGTCGTGTCCCGTGGCCTGTGACGAGCGTGGATGAATATATAATATAATATATGTTGTACTTGGTGTCTGTCTCCATCGGAAGCACGCAAGATTAGCTAGAGGAGGCCAGACGAAAATTCACCAGAGCGGACTCAAAAATGGAAGAAGGAAAAAACAATACACAAAAACCTAGCAAAGTTGCCAAGCGGAGTCCGACAAAAAACCGTCAAGCTAAATCCGAACAAAAATAAAAGTCAAGAGCTAACCAAACTTACGAGCAAAAATTTTAGCGCCTTAATAATATTATATATATATATATAAGATATTTTGAAAAGGAAAAAAAGCGCAGATCGGACATTGCAAAGAACGGCAGAAAAACGGACGTGAAAGAAAACGAGACTGAGGTCGGACGATTGGAAGGAAAAAAAACGAACGTGGAAACTGAGAGATGGAAAGTAGGACACGTAAAACTATAGTCCGAAAAAGGCAAACAAAAAATCCATGAAAAGAAAAAGGATTCGGACATGAAAACATAAAAAACGCAAACGGTAACCAAGTCGACGTGATGTCTTAGTTTAGTTGGACGAAAGATTTCAGGGTAGAAATTATATTTTTTTATTATTAGATATAGATATAGATATAGATTTCATATAGCTCATTATTGAAATGCGTCCATGCATATCTCTACCTTTTAAACCCCATCCATATACGCCTTTTAAACACCATCTTCTGCGGAATGACTCGTATAATAGATAGCTGAAATCAATGATATCCACACATACCTTTTTAAACTATGGCTCCGTTCGCGTGCTCTTAGATCCGACTTGATCCGTTTATTTTTTTTCATCCGGAACAGTATTTTTCTCTCACAAATTCCTTCAGCATTCCTCCAAACCATCCAGATTCCTCCAAAATTCAGACAAGCGAACAGACCCTATATCCTTTACTAAAGAATTTAACCAAGTTCACAACTAAACTAACTAATTAGTGATAGGTAAATTACTCTCTCTGTCCTTTAATATAGTGCATTATAGTAATTTTAAAACAAATTAAGAGAAAATATAAAAGACGAATGTACCCTTATTTTATTTTCCTAACCAGACGTTATCATCAACATAATTAATGGTGATTGGTTGATAAATGAAAAATATTTAATGTAAAATTAGTTTTTATCCTCTAGAATGTATTGTATTTGAGGACAAATTTTAAATGCTAAAATGCACTATATTACATGACAGAGGTAGCAGTATTTTATCAAACGTGATTGGATATCATGTATTTTAGGATGGAGGCCATCCGACATTCAACGCCAAATCACCACTCCACATTCACTCTCATCGTCACTTCACAAGCTAATGATAAGCTCATCTATCTTGAAAAACTAGAGTAATCACCCATTAAAACTAGATGTTTATGATGTCAATAACATGTATATAACTTTGTAGGCTCCAGAGCTCATGCTAACATTCCGTGTTCTTTATGTGCATAAATCTAGATGAGAGGATCAATTTCAGCAGGAGCTCACAAATTAAAACCCTTGCTTTAGAATTCTACAGTATTCCTACTTGAGGGTTTCTTTTGGCTGTCTTCTTTTCAAAGTTCAACTCTAGTAGGAATACTGTAGAATTCAACACCCAGTTTTTTGTTGGGCTGCAAGGACGAGAGGGGTGGAATGGATGATAGCCTGTCACCCCCTTTTTTTTTGCCATTACGTTATCTTCCCGGAGCCGTCCCGGAGCACATCGCCGAGCCTGCTATGGCCGCCACCTCCCTGAGCCAGCCCCGCGCTCGCCCTAGAGCCATCCTTGAGCACATCGCCGACCGCCACCACCTCCTCGAGCTCCGAGCTCGCGCGCCATGGCCGCCACCTCCCCGAGCTCCTAGGTCGCCCGCCGTGGCTGCCGCCATCCCGAGCTCCGAGCTCGCCCGACATGGCTGCCACCTCCTCGAGCTCCGAGCTCACCCACCATGGTCGCCACATCCCCGAGAGCTCGCCCACCATGGTCGCCACATCCCCGCCCCGGTAGCGCCGCCATCCCGCTCCGAGCCGCCCACCATGGCTGCCACCTCCTCGAGCTCCGAGCTCCCCACCGAGGTCGCCACATCCCCGAGAGCTCGCCCACCATGGCTGCCATCCCCGCGCCCGCCATAGCTGAGCCTCCGAGCTCCGAGCTCGCCCACCATGGCTGCCACCTCCTCGAGCTCCGAGCTCCCCCACCGAGGTCGCCACATCCCCGAGAGCTCTCCCACCATGGTCGCCACATCCCCGCGCCCGCCGTAGCTGCCGCCATCCCGAGCTCCGAGCTCGCCCGCCATGGCTGCCACCTCCTCGAGCTCCGAGCTCCCCCACCGAGGTCGCCACATCCCCGAGAGCTCGCCCACCATGGTCGCCACACATCCCACCATGGTCGCCACATCCCGCGCCGTAGCTGCCGCCATCCCGAGCTCCGAGCTCGCCCGCCATGGCTGCCACCTCCTCGAGCTCCGAGCTCCCCCACCGAGCTCGCCCACCATGGTCGCCACATCCCCGAGAGCTCGCCCACCATGGTCGCCACATCCCCGCGCCCCCGTAGCTGCCGCCATCCTGAGCTCCGAGCTCGCCCGACATGGCCCGAGCTCCGAGCTCACCCACCATGGTCGCACATCCCCGAGAGCTCGCCCACCATGGTCGCATCCCCCGCCATGGCTGCCAGAGCTCCGAGCTCGCCCACCATGGCTGCCACCTCCGAGCTCCGAGCTCCCCACCGAGGTCGCCACATCCCCGAGAGCTCGCCCACCATGGTCGCCACATCCACGCCCGCCGTAGCTGCCCCGCCGAGAGCTCGCCCACCATGGTCGCCATGGCTGCTCCGAGCCCACCGATCCCCGAGAGCTCTCCCACCATGGTCGCCACATCCCCGCGCCCGCCGTAGCTGCCGCCATCCCGAGCTCCGAGCTCGCCCGCCATGGCTGCCACCTCCTCGAGCTCCGAGCTCCCCCACCGAGCTCGCCCACCATGGTCGCCACATCCCCGCGCCCGCCGTGGCTGCCGCCATCCCGAGCTCCGAGCTCGCCCGCCATGGTCACCACCTCCCCGGGCTCCGAGCTCGCCCGCCATGGCCGTCACTTCCCCGAGCCCGAGAGCTCGCCCGCCCAGCCCATGCCGGAGGAGCTCCTCCAGTGCCGCTGCTTACCCAGTTCCTCCCGTGCCGTGCCGCAAGCGCCGGGGATGGGGGAGGTCGCGACGAAGGGAGGGAGAAGGAGACGGAGGTCGCGACGCCGTCCATCTGGGTCGAGTTGGTCTGCCTGATTCGGGGGATCATGAGAACCCGCATCTGAGAGGGATATTCCCTCCGAGGTCAGACCCATCCCACACAGCTCCTCAACCAAATGCATGATCTTGTTACTCTTTTGTAGGACACTACTACTGCATTTAAGTTGGCTGTCTTTGTTTTTACAGTTTTACTCTACTTAGCATAACAAGATTCAGCTAGATCGATGGTATTGTGCATTCAACATAACTTGTATCAGATGTTGTGTTCAGGAGTTCGGCATCCATCTAGTGGCGATCGATGCCTCCATAATCTTTCAGAACATAAGGCGCTCAGTCCATGCTTTGAAAATTGAAGCTATCAGCGTTTGCTTCACAATCTGGTCCGGTTGAACCAGGGCGCCACTCCTGTGGCAGGTGGGTCTGACTCGGGATAAATGGACTCTGTGGCTTGCACGGTGCACAACTTAGAACATGTTTGGCATTGCTCCCGCACTGGCTTCTCCATCAACTTCACGTGTGGAGGCGTGGAGCAAGCGGGGGGTGGAGGGTGCCCCACGCTCGCACTAAATTTTTTAGAAGCTAAACGAAATACAATCTAAAATTTGGTGATGATGTTCACCTAGCTAGGCCCGGTCAGGAATAAGAGTTTAGTGTAATTGTTTGCTACTTCCGTCCAAAAAAGCTTGATGTTTTGATTTTATCCTAAGTTAATTTATTTTAAGTTTTACTAAATTTATAAAGAAATTACTTTGACACCAAATAGATATACTATCAAAATATATTTTTCTAGAAGATTCTGTAAAAAATATATTCTTGATAAATCTAATGATACTTATTTAGTAATATAAACATAGTATACTTTTGTATAAACTAGATCAAACTTAAGGTAGTTTGATTTATAAAAAAGTAAAACATCAATTTTTTTTAGGATGAGGTAGTATTTAATGGCATCTATGAAGATTCGTGCTCATCAAGACATCTAAAACTGTTTTTTTTTAGATAATGGAAAAAAAATCCAGCTTCATCCCCTAAAGAGAGGAATTAGATCAACTTATTACGAAATAACTGCCGCAACGACCGGACTGAGGTTATAAAACAAAACCGACTCAATATCATATCGAGCTCTACACACAGGTCAGTTTAATCTAAAAGTTTAAAAACTAACAGAAAAAATGTGCCTTTCACTACTTCAAACACCACCAACTCCATCCACCCCATTGCTGACACGGCCGGAAGCCTTTCTCCAGAGGAGGACCGCAGGAACAGCTAGTCCACAACTCATGAAGAGGCCGCCACACATGCTGTGCTTCCTTCATGCAAAAAGTGAATTTGGTAAAGACCAAAATCACGAGATAGGCGTGAAAAAAAATGCGTGACTAACAGTGAATTGGCTGATATAAATAAACAAAGAGATGATGAAACAAGAGAAACTTTTCGCTCTTCTTGAAGCCATTTGTTCCACGAACAGATGTAGAAACTATGAGTATTTTGGGACGTTGGAGCAAAACATAGCAGATTAAATACAAATATTTTGAGATTTAGTGTCTCAAATCTTGGATGGAGACAAGGCGAGTATCAAAATTATAGAGCACGACAAGACCTAAAACTTTGCAATTGAATTTTTTTTACATTTGAAAAGATTTAGGGGCTGAAATATTCCACACAAGATTACGAAATGTATAAAAAGGTAGCTATCTAGATATATGTACTCACAGAAGAGTTTCTAGTTCAGTGTAGTGAAGTATTATCTGTACATGTGTTGAAGGTTTTAGGTTCGAATCTCCAAAGACACAATTTTTTGGTTTTTTGCGTTTAATAGTGAGAATTGGCTAGAAGCGGACGGCTTTGCTCATATCTGAAAATTAAACGCTCTCCTCCAAAAATGCTCTCTGAAACGATTGGTTAGAAGCAGATGGATTGTCCATCTCTGAAAATAAAAAACATCTGCCTCCGCAAAGGTCTATTAGGAGACATGTTTGGATCCCATCTAATAATTTTAGCTGCTATTTATTAGAACTAAACAATGGATTCAAATATACCCTTAGACAGTGTGTAAAAGTTAGACTACTGGGTGGGATATAATCTTTTAAGCTTTTTCTTATTGAGTTGGATGCGACACACATGGGCCTTTGGCTAACAATAAGCTCGAATTGTCGAAGATATATATGCTGTAAGAGTGGGCGCGGAGTCACGGAGAAATTAGTGAATTTGATGAAGGTTGTTCATGTTGTGCTCTCACTGAGTGGTACCAATTACCTAATAAATGGTCCTAAAATGTGGTTTCAGTACAAAGCTTTCATTCATTGATGAAACTACTTGTTTTTTGTGCTGAACAAAATACCTGAAGGGCATGTACCAAATTTACCGACGGACGAACGGCCAGTTTTCACATTGTGATGAACCATGATCCATGTGGTTTTGGGCATAAGTTGGTGTATAGGTTGCCGCCTTGAAAATGTCATGAGCTAGCAGTGGCAGTAATAAGGTAGCACATAGTATAAAACATTCATGATTCAATTCAACATAACATAAGTTACAAGTGTCCATAGTTTTTGGTAGAAATTTATAATATTCAAATTTTAAAGGGATATCCAAATTTGATGACGGATATCTGTCTCATGCCATCGTGCTGCCATCAGAGAAATCGCGTGGATAAACAGAGCAGCTCGTACACACGACATATGGGTTCCGCTCCGCTCTATGAATGCAAACGCGTAGTTAACGAATCGCGGTTCTGCAAACATTCCTGCCCGTAAGGACTTTCCTGACTGGGCCGGGCCTGCCCAAAGAAGGTCGAAGAGAAATGTGCCAGAATGTCACGATCGAGCTAACGAATCCATTTCGTGGATCAGCTGGACGTGCTAACCATTATGAATTTAGAACCTATTTATTTGAGCTGTAGCTTTGAGATGTTTAGCTTAAAAGTTGGTTTAACTTTTTGGCTTTTGATTTCTAGTTGTTGGGTTTTTGCTCTTAGCTTTTGTAATACATTTTTAGCTTCTCAGCACACAAAAGCAAGAAAAGCACCTCTCCACGTGTTTATTAGCTTTTAGTTTATTTTCTCAGAACATAGCTTTATTTTCGACTTTCAAAAAAAAAAAGATCAACAACAGAACAGCTTGTTTATAGCTTCTGGCTTGCAGAAACCAGCAAAAAGGCTGAAACAAAACAAGCCCTAATTAATAATATAAGGCGATCATAATGTCATCGTCGGAGTTGTTTAGTTGGATCCATCCACGGAGGCAGGAACTAATTGAACTTAATTAATCTGGATGCGTCGCCTTCATGCGCGGTGGCGGCGTTGACATGATCACAGTGGCGCCCGAGCCCGTTTGACGTCTGCCATGGACGACGGGGAGCAAAGGTTTGCGTGGTGTGCGGACGTGCATGCGTACGTGCTGCGTGCATGTGAAGGGAGATGGTTGAAGAGGAGCACGTCCTTACGCCGTGCATAGCTAGGGACTGTAGGAGTACATTAAATGACGTCAAGATTATGCGCAAAAAAAAATGACATCAAGATATTTGTCTAGTCCCGTCATCTGATTCTGATCATCAAGTCTGGTGCGTGTTCGATACACAGTGCTGAGAAATTCAGGCAAGTCATTCTTGTAAATCACTTAGACCTTATTTGGATGCATGTGCATCCATTTCAATCCATATGTATCGGAGTAAAATGGAATATAACTTAGTTTAATTTCATTCTAATCCACTACAACACATATGGATTGAGATGAATACATGCGCATCCAAATGAGACATTAGAGGGAGTAAATCTCATAATTTATTTATTGTATAAATAACATCACATAAGCTACAATAACACATGCATCATAAATGAGTACACAATCGTTAGGATAATTTTAGATAGCTAAATATTAAGTTATTTTATGGTTGATGACACAGAGTGGCCCCTTCCTATCTCTCTCGCTATCAGCAACTTCCGCAGGAGCCCTCAAATCAAAGGTCGCGTCAACTTTTTTCTTCAACTCCAGCAGCAGCTCCTAAATTAGAGCCCTCAAATCCATTTGTATAGGCACCGAGAGAGATGGGACCCCCACATGTCATTCTCTCTATCCCTTCCTCTTATCCTTTTTGTAATCGCCCCAGCCTCCACCCCAAGTGGTTGATGCCCCGCGTCCGCTCGCCGCTAGTCGCGCCAATGCCAGAGCACTCTCCCCGACGAAGGAGGAACCCAACGATGGGAGTGTGGCTCCCTAGCGGAGAAGAGGAACCTGGCGGGGAAAGGAAGACATGGTGGGGTGGCAGCATACGGAGAGAGGAGGGATCCAACGACGGGAGGGGCTCTCCGTCGGAGAGGAGGAACCTGGCCAGGGAGACGAAGACGTGGTGGGGAGGCAGTATGCCGGGAGATGAGGACGTGATGGGGAAGTGTGGCAGGCCGGACGCTAGGTAGGGGCAGGTCGAGCGAGAGACTGTAACACCCTCGGTGTTACACCGTAAATTATCTACTAAAACATGTCATGAGCATCATGTTTATGTGTTAATGCATGTGATAAAGTGTGTGGATCAATTTCTATAACTCAAAACGATCAACAAAAACGCTAAACGAAAGTTGCTCCACGATTTGTACAGTCATCAAGTAGGGTTTAAAACCAATTTTTATTAAGCAAAAATGCTATAGAACATGTATGTGATACTTAAATAAAGTTTAAAGTGCAAACTTTGTAGATGACAGTGAAATACTTGCGGTCAAAAAATGATATTACTAGCTAATATTTTCACTAGCTTAGAAATCATAAATTGAAAAATCCAGCTCAAAATCTTAGAAATTTTCAAGTCTGCCAACAGCTAGACATTGCTATATTTAGCAATTTATTGTGAAA